AACAGGCAAAAACACCTGTGATTGTGGTTCGCCTAAGAAAACCCTAAGAGAATACAGTGGTTTGAGTGTTGCACTATGAGCCTGGAAACCAGGGTTTGAATCCCTGCTTAGCCATGAAACCCATTGAGTGACCTTAGGCAAATCACACTCTCTCAGAGGAAGGCTATGACAATAATCTTTGGAACAATTTTTGCCAAGAAAATCCTGTGATAGGTTTGTCTTAGGACCATAGGGAAGGCTGAGCAAAGGAAGATAGATGCTTTTGAACTGTGGTGTTGGAGGAAAATTCTGAGAGTGCCTTGGACCGCAAGAAGATCTAACCAGTCCATACTTCAGGAAATAAAGCCCAACTGCTCATTGGAGGGAAGGATATTAGAGGCCAAGATGAAGTACTTCAGCCACATAATGAGGAGACAAGAAAGTTTGGAGAACACCATTATACTGGGGAAAATGGAAGGAAAAAGAAAGAGGGGTCAACCAAGGGCAAGATGGATGGATGGTATCCTTGACGTGACTGGCTTGACTTTGAAGGAGCTGGGGGTGGTTACGGTTGACAGGGAGCTCTGGCATGAACTGGTCCATGAGGTCATGAAGAGTCAGAAGTGACAACAACAAGGACCATCATAGGTCAGAAATGGCTTAAAGGCACACAATAACACAAGAAAATCCTATGAAATCCATGTGGCTGCCATAAGTAGACAGTTGACTTGCTAATAAGTGTGTATTTGTGTGTGTGGTTTATTATTATTACTATTATCAACTTTATTTATATTCCAACTTTCTCCCCATAGGGACTCAAGGTAATCAACAACCATACAATCTAATAAAATTTTTAAACTAAACGAATACAAGAACAAAAAACAATTAAATATGAGTGGGTGGATATAAAGTTGAAATATAATAAATACAATTAAAATTACATTTAAAAACTCACTCAATCCCCACAAAATCCCACCCACAAATATCTCCAGCAGTATGGCTATATTCCTTATCCAAATGCCCAATTGCAAAGTACAGTACTGCTGGGTTGCAATTCCAATTATCTCCAGTCTGCATAGCGGATATAATCAATAGTGATGGGTGTTGGTGTTCAATAACATCTGGGGACCCATACTGGGTAAAAACTAAAGAGCACCAATGGGAGGGGGGCACCTTCCACACAGCAATTTTCTCCAGCATCATTATCTTCTCCAAACTTTCCTGTCTTTTCATTATGTAGTCAAAGTACGTCATCTTTGCCTCTAATATCTTCCCTCCAGTGAGCAGTCAGGCTTAATTTCCTGGAGTATGGACTGGTTTGATCTTCTTGCGGTCCAAGGCACCCTCAGAATTTTCCTCCAGCACCACAGTTCAAAAGCGTCTATCTTCCTTTGCTCAGCCTTCCTTATGGTCCAGCTCTCACATCCATAGGTTACTACGGGGAATACCATTACTTTAACTCTGCAGACCTCCATTGTCAGTGTGATGTCTGTACCTTTAACTATTTTATTAAGATTGGTCATTGCTCTCCTCCCAAAAAGACTGGCTGCTTCAAATGGTCCAGCGGGCTGCAGCCAGGCTAATAACAGGAGATGCACTCAGGAAGCATACAACTCCTCTGCTGCACCAGCTCCACTGGCTGGCAGTTTGCTATCGGGCACAATTCAAAGTGTTGGCTTTAGCCTATAAAGCCCTAAATGGTTCTGACCTACAAGAAGCACTGCCTGAATATCAAGCAAAAGGTGGGTGCTAGAAACAATATACAAAAGCTGACTGGCACAACCTGGGGATCACAACCAGACACAGTGAAGACATCTGCCCTTGCGCTATGCTATTCTGCTGCTGAGTATGCATGCCCAGTGTGGAACACATCTCACCACGCTAAAATAGAGGATGTGGCTCTTAATGAGACATGCCGCATCATCACGGGGTGTCTGCGCCCTACACCACTGGAGAAATTACACTGTCTAGCCGATATTACACCACCTGACATCCGCCAGGAAGTAGCAGCCAATAGTGAAAGGACCAAGGCAGAGACATCTCCAGCTTATCCCCGGTTTGGGTATTAGCCAGCACGTCAATGACTTAAATCTAGAAATAGTTTTCTAAGATCTACAGAGACACTCGCTGGAACATCTCAGCAAGCGAGAGTCCAAAAGTGGCAGGTTCAAACCCAGAACCTCAACCAATGGCTGATACAAAATGAGAGACTCCCCCCTGGGCACACAGAAGACTTGGAAGGCGTTGAACAGACTGTGCTCTGGCACCACGAGATGCAGAGCCAACCTCAAGAAATGGGGCCACAAAGTGGAATCTTCACATGTGAGTGTGAAGAAGAGCAAACCGCTGACCACCTGCTGCAATGCAACCTGAGCCCTGCTACATGCAAAATGGAGGACCTTCTTGCGGCAACACCAGAGGCACTCTAAGTGGCCAGATACTGGTCAAAGGACATTTAATCAACTACCAAGCTTGCAAATTTTGTTTTGTGTCTATTTGTTTGTTTTTGTTCTGTTAGAAATGTAATACAATCGTCTGGTTGTCCCTGACACGATAAATAAATAAATCTAAAAAAAAGAAAAAAATTAATTCTATCTTCCTAATTTCATTATTAATTCTACTCTATAAGTTCATTTACTTTATCTTCCAGTGGCGAAGGTATAGGACAAGTTTATTATATTTAATGTAAATCTATCTATATCTAATTTCAAAAGAATAAAGATAAATATTATATTTATGCTCCCTGTTTCTTAGCTTTTTCATATTCTTCAAAGAGTTTTCAATCAGTCCTTTTTATTGGGCTTCCTGAGTTGACCTTCAAAAAAAAAAGGTTAATATATCCATTTCTTTAATTTCCTTTAGTTTGTCCAGCCAGTCTTCGACGTCGGGGGTCTTATCCGTTTTCCACAGTCTCGCATATACCATTCTTGCTGCTGTAACCATATAGATGGAAAGAACGTCTTTATTTTTGTCTAAAATTAGAGCCGAGTCAGTAATGCCTAGAAGGTAATGTTCTGGTTTTTTAACAAATCTGATTTCTAAGATTTTTTAGTCTCCTCATGTATTAGCTTCCAATATTTCTGGGCTTCTTCACAAGTCCACCACACGTGAAAGAAGCTCCCCTCATGTCTCTGGCATTTCCAACAATCTTTTCTGACATTTTTATATATGGACCCCAATTTTTCGGGGGTTATGTACCATCTGTGAAACATTTTAAGAATATTTTCCTTAAGATCCATAGCATAAATATATTTTGATTTCTTAGTCCAAATTTGTTCCCATTCCTTTAAGTGGATGGGTCTTCCGATATTCTCAGCCCATTTTACCATGCAGTTCTTTACCACCTCAATTTCTGTATGCCAATCCAACAACTTATTGTCGAAGGCTTTCATGGCCGGAATCACTGGGTTGTTGTAGGTGTTTTCGGGCTGTATGGCCATGGTCTAGAGGCATTCTCTCCTGACGTTTCACCTGCATCTATGGCAATCATCCTCAAAGGTAGTGAGGTCTGTTGGAACTAGGAAAAAGGGTTTATATATCTGTGGAATGACCAGGGTGAGACAAACGCAGTGCCCAAACACAAATCAAGGAACATGAAAGGCACTGCAGACTACTTTAAACCAGAGAAATCAGCCATAGCAGAGCACCTGATGAACCAACCTGGACACAGCATTTTATCTGAGAACACAGAAATGCTGGACCACTCTCACAACCACCATGTCAGACTACACAGAGAAGCCATTGAAATACACAAGCATGTGGACAATTTCAACAGAAAGGAGGAAACCATGAAAATGAACAAAATCTGGCTACCAGTATTAAAAAAACTCTAAAATTGCAATAGCACAACAACAGGGAGGAAGCAGGCAGGGACATCTAATTACCTCTCAACAAAAGTTTGCCCCAGGCACAGTCAAGCCATTGTATGCTAATCAAGGTGGTCAGTTGAAACATTCACACCTAGCTCCAGCAGACAAGAATCCTTTGTCTTACCCTGGTCATTCCACAGATATATAAACCCTTTTGCCTAGTTCCAACAGACCTCACTACCTCTGAGGATGCTTGCCATAGATGCAGGCGAAACATCAGGAGAGAATGCCTCCAGACCATGACCATACAGCCCGAAAAAACCTACAACAACCCAATCCAACAACTGATTATACATCATGGTAATTGACTTTTTCTCTAACTGAAGGAATTTATCCCAACTAGTCGGTTTCAGATTAAACACCTATTTTTTGTCTTTATTAAAGTATTCTTTAATTTGTAGGTTTATTATTATTATTATTATTATTATTAGAGCCCTTGTGCTGGCAGGATTGAAGACCGACAGATCACAGGTTCGAATCCGAGAAGAGCGGATGAGCTCCCTCTATCAGCTCCAGCTCCTCATGCGGGGATGAGAGAAGCTTCCCACAAGGATGATAAAAACATCAAATCATCCGGGCGTCCCCTGGGCAACGTCCTTGCAGACGGCCAATTCTCTCACACCAGAAGTGACTTGCAGTTTCTCAAGTCACTCCTGACATGAAAAAAATATTGATATTCTGAGATATAGGGTTGTGTGGAAGGGCCCTGGGTTATTGGAATCCACACTCAGATAATGTGGGGTTTCCTGCCTTGATATTCTGGGATATAGGGCTGTGTGGAAGGTCATCAGGAGCTCTCTGTCTGGTCTTTTGGATAGACACACTCTTAAACTACAACTTCCTCCAGGAGGGAGAAACAGGATTCCAGATGGGATGTTTACATGCTCTTCCAACTCTAGTCAGCGTGGTGGACAAAACAAGCCGTCAGAAGAGGGAAGAGCTGATATAACACCGGAATGCGTGATCAAATATTAGAGGGCAGAGGGGTAGCTTCCTTTGGAGGCGAGCTGTGGAGGCCTTGTAGGCCGCTCGATGGCTCCGAGGCCGATTAGGCAAGCCTGCGAGAGCGATGGAGGCGGGCCGCGAAGAAGGGAGGGCGAAGGCGCCACCTTAGGCCCCTCCTCCCTTCCTCCTCCTCCTCCTCATTGAAGGCTTGGGCTTCCCTCAGTCAGGCAGGCAAAAGAAGAAGCAGAAGGAGGAGGAAAGACTCCGCCCTGCGAGGAGTTGGAGGGCGACCAGGCAGAAGAAGAGGCTGCAGGACAGAAGGAAACCCACTCCTCTCTTTGTGGAGGAGACTCCGCAGCCGGCCAAGACGCCTTCCATGTGAGGAGGGGGAAAAATAGGCGGCTTTGGCGAGGAGAAGTAAGCCTGCGTCCTCACTGTGGAATGAACGCAGTTTGACACCGCTTTTCACACCTGCCGTGGCACCCTGGGAGTTGTAGTGTGGCGAGGTCCTTCCTCTCTGCCTCAGCATTTAGTATGTCGGAATTAGCCTAGATTCAGGTATGGGCAAACTTGGGCCCTCCAGGTATTTTGGACTTCAACTCCCACAAGGTAGGCTGCTAGGAATGGTGGGAGTTGGAGTCCAAAACATCTGGAGAGCCTAAGTTTGCCCATGCCTGCTCTAGATCATACTCCTCTAAGGTAGGGATGGGCAAACTTAGGCCCTTCAGGTGTTTTGGACTCCAACTCCCATCATTCCTAACAGCCTCAGGCCCTTTCCTTTTCTCCCTCAGCCGCTTAAGCGGCTGAGGGAGAAAAGGAAGGGGCCTGAGGCTGTTAGGAATGATGGGAGTTGGAGTCCAAAACACCTGGAAGGCCCAAGTTCGCCCATCCCTGCCCTAGGGCATTGTTTGCAAAGGTTTGCTGCTTTATTTTAATTGGGATGTGTCTTTGTGTGTATCTCAAAGGAGGTTTGGCTGGGATGCAAGATGTCAGTCAAGAAACCTCTCTGAAAATAGGATGGGAAGAAAAGAGGCTCCCGAGGATATGTTTCCTAACTTGGAAGGAAATCTTGCTTTGTTTCCCATGGAGAAGGTGCCCCTGGAGGTCACTGGCTGCTTCGTCTCCTAAGGATGCGTGAAATGGATATACCAGTTCCTGCTTGCAGAAGTCAGCAGCGCTTCAAGATCCCTCACAGAAGAGGGTTTGCTTGCTCCCTGGGTGCATCTATAGCTTGGTCCCTCCAGGGTGTTTGGACTTCAACTCCCACGATTCCTAACAGGTTGCTGTGAGTTTTCTGGGCTGTATGATCATGTTCCGGAAGCATTCTCTTCTGACGTTTCGCTCACATCTGTGGCAGGCGTCCTCAGAGGATGTGAGGTCTGTTGGAAACTAGGCAAGTGGGGTTTATATATTTGTGGAATGTCCCGGGTGGGAGAAAGACTCTTGTCTGTTTTAGGCAGGTGTGAATGTTGCAAATGGCCACCTTGATTAGCATTTAATGGCCTTGCAGCTTCAAAACCTGGCTCGTTGCTGCCTGGGGAAATCCTGTGTTGTTGGGAGGTGTTAGCTGGCTCTGATTGGTTTTTGTCTGGAATTCCCTTGCTTTTTGAGTGTTACTCTTTATGTACTGTCCTGATTTGAGAGGTTTTTTAAAATTGTGGTAGACAGATTTTGTTCATTTTCATGGTTTTCTCCTGTCTGTTGAAATTGTCAACATGCTTGTGAATTCCAATGGCTAGCTTTTAGGATGTGGGAGTTGAAGCCAAAACACCCAGAGAGCCCAAGTTTGCCCATACCTGGTCTATACTGTAAAGGAACGCAGTTTGAAAGCACTTGTAACTGCCATGCCGTAATACTATGAGATCATGGGAGTTACAGTTTTATAAGAGCACTGGTGCCTCACCAGATTACAACTCCCAGGATTCCATGGCATTAAGCCATGACAGTTAAAGTGGTATCAAACTACATTCATTCTACAGTATAGATGTAACCCCTGTCAGGCTCTTTTGGGGTGTTTAGATGGGCAAAAAGGCTGTTTTCCCAATTCTTTCAGTGTGTATGTGTGTTTATATGTATATGTATGTGTTAAATAGATACCCTTGGTATCCATTGGGGTGTAGTTCCAGGATTCTCCATGGATGCTCTCCCATTTATTACTGTTGTTCATAGAATCATAGAGTTGGACAGGGCCATCCAGTCCAACCACATTTTGGCATTCAAGAACACACAATCAAAGTACCCCGACAGATGAACATCCAGCCTCTGCTTAAAAACTTCCAGAGAAGGAGACTCCACCACTCTCCAATGCAACAGCAAAGGCTGGATGGCCATCTGTCAGGAATGATTTTATTGCAATTTCCTGCATGTTAGGGGGTTGGACTGGATGGCCCTTCTGATTTACTTCGCCTCTATATTTCCATGATTTATGAATCTCTGGCTATAGAATTCATGTAAACAGAATCCATAAATACAGAGGACTGCTATGTTATTTTATTCAAATTTTGGAACAGAATGGTACTGGTGTTTATGTAAATGGTACAGTTGTGGTTTGGGAAATTATGAAATAATTGCAGGCAACCTCATGTTGAACTAGAAAAAATAGCTATTTTGAAAGTCTGACTGCTCAATATCCTGTTGCTTCATTGGAAGTGATATGCTGCTGATTTTTCAAATTTAAGAGAGCATGTGAGATAACTCTTTCCTTCCCTTCTCTCTTAATGCTGAATCAGCTCCAGTTCGTCTGGATTTTTTTTCATTGACTGGATTCTATACTCAATTTCAGTCTGAGTAAGAGAAAGGTGGCTAAGTGTGTATGTCCTTCATTGTCTCCTTTTTAAAGCCTGAATCAGTAAGTCTGGGTTACTCTCCATTTGTTGAAATCTGCAAAAGATACTTCAGCCATACTGCATTAAAAAGAAAATCAGCCTGTTTAGAAAGCCTTGCAAATGCTGATTGAGTAAATGCTATTGATTAATGTCTGAATTATCCACTAGATAATATTCAGGAAAAAATTGAGCTAGGGCCCCATTTAGGTTCAAGGCTCACAGTTTAAGAAGCACTGTCTTAGGATTTTTTTAGGTCCTTAGTTAAAGATTTCACGAAAATCTTTCTGACATTTTTCAACACTTTGCTGATACGAAGTAGATGCTCAGAGTCAATGATCTTACACTTACTTGAATGTACATAGATATAAAAGTCCTGCTCTTTTACGTAACTTTGTTAGCATCATAGTTGGTTGAAAACCAGCTTGATATAGTGATTTGAGTGCTGAAGTAAGGTTCAAATTTGCACTGGGCCATGGAAACCCACTGGGTGACCTTTGGTAAGTCATACTCTCTCAGCCTCCGGAAGGCAAAGGCATATCCTTCCCTAAACAGATCTTGTTATGAAAACCCTATAATACGTTTGTCCTAGGATTGCCATGAGTTGAAGGAAAGCAGCAATGAAATAGCCCATTTCATGACATATGCTGTCATGCTAGAATAGCAGCAACAATACAAAAACCACATAAAACAATAAAACTTCAGAAAAAAACTTTAGATTAAAGATAAATTTAAACCTAGTAGATGAAATGCATGCAATGGCTATTTCAAAAGCCTCAGAGAAGTCTAAGATCTGCTGCTAATATGGCATTGACGTAGGTACTAGGCGAACTTGCCTGCAAGGAATGTTCCAAATATGAGTGCCTAGATGTTGAAAAACTCTCTTTGCTATAATCAAACACCAGCAAGATATGGTCACAGTATTCAGTCCTAGTTAGCAGCTATATTTTGAATTAATTGCAGTTTCCAGAGGTTCTTCAAAGACAACCTATTTATAGCATGTTGTATTAGAAGGTTATTAGAGATTACTGAACACATACACATGAGAAGTATGTCAAAATAAGGACCGGAAAAGCTGTCTTTCAGAATCCTGGAGACATACAGACACTACATGTTTTTTCAAGGCTCTTCCGCACAGCCATATAACTCAGAATATCAAGCCAGAAAATCCCACAATATCTTCTTTGAACTGGGTTATCTGAGTCCACACTGCCATAGATTCCAGTTCAAAGCAGAAAATGTGGAATTTTATTCAGTTGTGTAGAAAGAGCCTCAGTAGGAATGAGGGGTGTTTTATGTACAAAACATGAAAAGAGCAGTTGTAAAGATTTAAAAGAATGAGATGTTTTGAATCAGGATTCTTATCACACTGCACCTGCCATGCTGTTATTGATATATTCAGTCATAAGTTGCACTGTTGTTGTTCATTCGTTCAGTCGTCTCCGACTCTTCGTGACCTCATGGACCAGCCCACGCCAGAGCTCCCTGTCGGCCGTTACCACCCCCAGCTCCCTCAAGGTCAGTCCAGTCACTTCAAGGATGCCATCCATCCATCTTGCCCTTGGTCGGCCCCTCTTCCTTTTGCCTTCCACTTTCCCCAGCATAATTGTCTTCTCTAGGCTTTCCTGTCTCCTCATGATGTGGCCAAAGTACTTCAACTTTGTCTCTAGTATCTTTCCCTCCAGTGAGCAGTCGGGCTTTATTTCCTGGAGGATGGACTGGTTGGCTCTTCTCGCAGTCCAAGGCACTCTCAGCACTTTCCTCCAACACCACAGCTCAAAAGCATCGATCTTCCTTCGCTCAGCCTTCCCTAAGGTCCAGCTCTCACATCCGTAGGTTACTACAGGGAATACCATGGCTTTGACTAGGCGGATCTTTGTTGCCAGTCTGATGTCTCTACTCTTTACTATTTTATCGAGACTGGACATTGCTCTCCTCCCAAGAAGTAAGCGTCTTCTGATTTCCTGGCCACAGTCTGCATCTGCAGTAATCTTTGCACCTAGAAATACAAAGTCTGTCACGGCCTCCACGGTTTCTCCTTCTATTTTCCAGTTGTCAATCATTCTTGTTGCCATAATCTTGGTTTTTTTGACGTTTAGCTGCAACCCGGCTTTTGCGCTTTCTTCTTTCACCTTGATTAGAAGCCTCCTCAGCTCCTCCTCGCTTTCGGCCATCAGAGTGGTGTCATCTGCATATCTGAGGTTGTTAATGTTTCTTCCAGCAATTTTCACCCCTTTGCATTCCTCGCATGATGTGTTCTGCATACAAGTTAAAAAGGTTGGGTGAGAGTATGCAGCCTTGCCGTACGCCTTTCCCAATCTTGAACCAGTCTGTTGTTCCGTGTCAGTTCTGACTGTTGCTACTTGGTCCTTGTACAGATTCCTCAGGAGAGAGACAAGGTGGCTTGGAATGCCCACCAAGAACTTGACACAATTTATTATGATCCACACAGTCAAAGGCTTTAGAATAGTCAATGAAGCAGAAGTAGATGTTTTTCTGAACTCCCTGCCTTTCTCCATTATCCAGCGGATATTGGCAATCTGGTCTCTCGTTCCTCTGCCTTTTCTAAACCCAGCTTGAACATCTGGCAACTCT